CAGCACTTTTTTTAAGTTTAAATGAAAGATATATATTTTTTAAACCCCCCAAAAAATTTGTCCGACAAAAATGTTGGTATTTTGAGTTTGTCCCCCACCCCAAATATGTCGATTTGTTGACATTATGGTTGGTGATAACCAGCAAGCTGATTTTTCTGGGAAGGTTTGGTAATAAGATTTGAAATGAAAGTATCTTATTGTCCGACAAAATTCTTGAGAAGTTTTTGCAGTCCTACGCCCCGAAGATGTCGACTTAACGACAGCATGGTTGGTGATAACCAGCAATCTGGCTTTGATTAGTTTCTCTAATAATTGAAATGTATAACACAATAATATACTTGTCTGCCAAAAAAATTGGAAAATTTGCCATAAGAATGACAAAAATATTTTCCTATTTTTGTGGTACCTAATGTTCATTCCGCTATAAAACAATTAATTTTTTAATGAAAAAATAAAGAAGAATAAATAAGAAAATTATCTTGTTAACAGGAGCAACAGAAATTGAAATTCATAAATAATTATGTTTAAATAATTTAATTAATCTCCAGCAAAATGATTTCTTTGTTCAAAAAACATATGTACATTTTATTTTATAAACTATTATAACTATTTTATAAAATATGGTAACTGTACAATGAATGCATACATTTTTGCTTGTCTTTTTAAATTAAAATTTGCAATCTTGTTTTGACAAACAGTTTACACATAGTTTTGTTCTTGAAAAATCAATTAAACCAATTTTAAAAATATTATTATACATTGATCAACGCGTTTATTAAAAGATTGTCTTGTTGTAAAGTATAAATCCTTAATGCAAAATGACTTTGCAACATTTAAAACCTGTTGCCAAAGTTCTTAACAGGTGTTTATAGTTTCTCCATAAACAACTGATTTCATGTAACCCCAAAAACGGAAGTCTCGGCATTCCATCTCACATTTATGTACATACAATTTAAATTAAGATGTAACTTTAGATATGAATAATACTTAATGGACAGAAGCATACAAATGACAGCAATAAGACAAGTGGAACATGTCAATTATTTGATTTTCGTCCAAACTTAAGAAACTTCAACGCTAAATTAATCAAAGCCAAATATCTCGATAACGGTGCGAGACAGCTAGTTTTATAAAGTGTAGTAAAAAAAGTTGGAAAATAAGAATTTGATACCAAAGATGAGATACCTTAAAGTATAAAAAAGTGATGTCGTTTTTAACACATTCAATCTACTGCAGCTAGCGCCCTCTATGAACTTTAACCAAAATGTGAAGACATTTCAATTCCTCTACTTAAAGAACTCCAAACCTCAAAATTTTGTGATATTTGCGTTTGTTAAGAAATAAATGCAAAAAAACGAAAATAATATTTGACATTTAACACCCTGTATCTCTTTAACTATCAACTTTTGGACTAAGGTAAGTTCGGCTAAATCGCAATATTTTTGCTTCGAGAATCTACCCATGAATTTTTTCCTATTAGCTCGGGACCACCCTGTATACAATTTTTTTGTAAATTTTTTTAAAAATTAAATTTAAATTAGTCATTTAATTTGAAATTTGAGAAATTTAAACAAAATTTTTTTTATTCATATATTTTTTTTATTAAATATAAATTTTTCTTCTACATCATGTGCAAGTATTGAAATTGGAAAATTTTAGCGTCTAATTTTGTCGGACAAGCAAATTCTCAGATTAATATTGCATTTTTTTAAAATAATGACGCCTTTGTCCGACAGCTGGTTATAACCAACCATGTTGTCGTAAAATCGACATCTACGGGGCGTCGGACTGCAAAAACTTCTCAAGAATTTTGTCGGACAATAAGATACTTTCATTTCAAATCTTATTACCAAACCCTTCCAGAAAAATCAGCTTGCTGGTTGTCACCAACCATAATGTCACCAAATCGACATATTTGGGGTGGGGGACAAACTCAAAATACCAACATTTTTGTCAGACAAATTTTTTGGGGGGTTTAAAAAAAATATCTTTCATTTAAACTTAAAAAAAAAAGTGCTGATCAAACATTCCAGATTGACATGTTTTCCTGAAAATCACGGGAAAACTTACCACTGTTGAATTTTCCGCATAGTCAAATCTTGGGAGACTCATCAAACTTAAGCTGCACGCAGTTACAGCTTGCTGGTAATTATTTTTTTTTTGTACGTGGGCCCGTGGACTGCATGTTTATAGCAACTTTTTTTTATTTTAAGAAACTCTATTAGCAAGAAAAAATTTATTTATACAATTCTGGAGACCTTGATTATAATAAGAATGGAAATGGATATACTATTAGTGGCACAATTTAGTGACATCCACCTGATAAATAAGAACCGATTATGATTAGAATTTAAAAAAATTCAGATATTTCCTTGACTTCTAGATCTACGAAATTCCCCAATTATCCCAGGTTCTCCCTGTTTCCCAGATATATATACCCTGTTTATAGAAAACACACCACTCTTAGGTCATCAGGAAAGTGTTCTGTTTAACCCGAAGGTATTAATAAATATGGAAAAATGTCAAACAAAATTGCTGATTTCGAGTTGCCTAATCCACGCTAGCATACGGATAATTTATAGTCCACAATACAGGCCCCCCCCTGGAAAGTTGGTTACCACATACTTTATAACTCGTGAGAAGCTTCGTTTTGACGAGTCTATCACACTTTTCCTCTACGACTTTTCTCGATTCCTCCGCTTTTCCACTCGGAAAAGTCTAAAAACATGGCAATTTCCCGGGGTCCAGACCGCATATTTTTTTTAGCTTAAGTTACTGGAAATTTTGTTGTAAATGCCGATTTAAATTTGTCCGACAGAAATTCTTCCGACATTGACGTGTCTACCGGCCGAGACATGCCAAAATGACAGGGTATTGAAAATCAATTAGGTACCACATAGCCCCATTTTACTTTCATGAGTAGTAGCAACTATAACAGGTTTAGTAGTAAACCAGTATAGTACAATCATGGGCAACTTAAAGTCACCACCATCCGAGCGATTCTCTTTCTATCGCGCCCCACTACAAATTATGACCTGATGAAAACGAATCTTCAAGCGAAGAAGGATAATTAAACGGCTAAAAGGTTAAAATTTGCAATGATAACATTTGCTCTACATAAAATTGTATTTTTATATATTTTATAAAACCATCACATCAACATATTATGCATTTGAGGATCCGTAGGAAAAAAAAAAGGATTATGACTATAAACTGTTTCAGGCAGTTTAAAGTAATTAACTTACATACTATCTTAGTGCATAATGCACTATTTCTAAATAAAGTAATATACTTGATATAAAAATACTTTTTTCTCTTTCAAGTCTTCATTCGCGTTTGTTATTTTTCTTTACAAAAATTTTCCTATTTTTCTAAAAGAAAATCCCAAAACTTTTGTGCATAATTTTTTTACACCATATACACTTTTTTGAAATCGTTTAATTCTTTTCTCGAGGTGAAAATAAATCGAATTGCCTTATCTTACCTTAGTACAAAAGTTGATAATTTGGAGATACAGGGTGTCTCATGAAAACGGTGGTTATTTTGAACATTTACTAAATAGACCTGGCAGAATCTGCTTTGGTGTAGACAGTGGCGGTTTTACCATAAGAGCTGCGGAGCTGCAGAACACATCAAATTTTATGTATTTAATCATGTCAAATATCAACAAAATATTTAAAGAATCCAAATGTACTGGCGCTAAAATAAATCCAGGAGCGTATATTATTATTTATTACGACGCGAGTTACGCTCCTTAATATATGCAACCTCTTATACAAAATGTGTGCACAGCGAACAGTTAGATGCGTCCTTTGTTTTTATTGGCTAATCAGGCACGTGACCCAGTACACGAATATATGCGGTTATGTGGCTACAACAACGACAGCCACTGCTGCAGTAAATGCAGTAATATTTCGTACGTGGTATGTGGTGGTTTATTTCTGCGAGCGGCACATGTGAATATTTTCGTTTAGGCTTCTACGGATATTATAGTTATTAAAATGAATATATATATATAATAGTTCTTTGCCTCATGAGGATAAACTAAAAATAAAAGAATTAGGTGGGACAACTCGGAATGACAAAGGTATTTGTTTAAAAAACAGCCCTCCAGACCTCATAGTTATGCCACAAATGCCGGTCAACTTTGATCGACTATAACCCTGGAACCAATTAACGAATCACCATGTGTTTTTTTTTTAAAGAAGGCGTTTTTCCGACAACTTTAAAGGCATAATTAAAAAAATTATAATTATAATGAATTTATAGTTATTCTAGTTGTTTATAAGCACAAAAATTATGCATATCTTTAAAAGATTACCACGGCTCTCCTAATTAACGGATTTTAATTTTTCTGGGCGCAATTTAAAGTATGAGCGCCCTTTTTTGTGATAAAATTTTCGTTTTTTCAAAAATCTGGATTGCAAAATTATTACTCAAAAACTATAGAACCGATTTTAACAAAAATTGGTGATGTTTTATTATATCAAAAAGATTTTTTTGGCCAAGTATGAAGATCCTACTTACAAGTACTTTTAAAAAAAATCGCAAAAATATTGTAATTTTTTTCACTTTTTTTTGTTGTTTTTGCTATATTTGCAATAATTATGTTGTATTTTTTATGTGAAAATAGTTACATCTTGTGTAAAATTTAATTGCGAATATTTTTTTCCTCTTCAATTTTTCTCTAAATGAATAGTTTTTGAACTGTGTTGAAAAAAAAAGAAAAAAAAATGGAATTTTTTTCCAATTTTTTTCACTATTTATTTAATAATAAGTTTAGCAACGTTTTGAAGCACGCGCGTAATGAAATTATGTTTTGTTATATCATTTTGGAGCCATTAAAGCAAAAATTAGTGATACTATATAAAACATCCATACATGGGTGTTTTGAAACAGATCTCGCCTGGTTTAAAAGTGTTTTTTGTATAATTAATAAAATTCAGATATTTTCAGTTTTGTTTTGTTGCTTGTTTTGCAGTTTGTCTGATTGCACCCCAACAAAGCAATTTTGAACTAAGGTAAGTTGAGTTAAATCGTTCTTTCATTGCATTTTTCTGGCAAATGGTTGCTCCTAGCGACAAATTAGCAAATGTTGTATGTGGCACCCTAAACACCTTACATAAAATTTGTTAACATATTTGAATTTTTCACCCTAAAAAAACTGTAGCTGCCAAACCTACATTATTTTTTAAAATACTGCTCAACAATGAACACGCATTGTACTTTCACGTGGTACACCATATTTAATAACCCTAAATTGTCAGCCATAATGCTTTTTTTTTTGTTGGCAATACTTTAACGGACAAATGGTGCAAAATTCAAATATTGCGTGAATTTTGGAACACCCGATACAAATCTGTGCAAAATTCAACTGAATATATTAAAAAAACAATGAAGTTTTTAGTAAAGATATAATTAAAATTTTAATTTTGATACCCCACATCCTGAAGGAAAGTGAAAAACAGCTATTACTTTCAAAGAATCTGTTGATTAGAGGTTCAACTTACTTTTTATGTAGCACCGGGTAGATATAAAATTAATTCTTACCTTTGAAGCATCGCACTGCTTGTGAAGAAAGAAGAGTGCCTGGAAAATGTTGTGGGTGTACAAAATCAATATAAAAAAATACCCAAAGTAAAAAAACTCACGTCAGCACTTTTATTGGGAATCATGGCCATGTTCATCGACCTAGTAGAGGTGTGGTAACCTTTCTTTTGAGGTTTGATATCGTGGGCTCCACCGCACCTCTGCCAGGGACATTGTTTGCACTCTGACGGATCATTTTCTAAACGATAGGCACACAATTCACTGTAACTTGGGTAGGGTGCCATCTTCTTGGTACAATGGGGCTGCAAGATAATGATATTTAATGTAAACAAATTCGGTAAATGTAGACATATACTTACGTCCATGTATCCTCGACTACAATCTGATTTGGGTGCTTTCATCGGTGGGCAGTCCGGTAGCTTAAATTCAGGACAAGGCAAATTTTTGTTGCATTTCCTTTCGGATGGTTTACATCCCCCCTTATACGATTTTCCAGTGGAGTAGGACCGGGTGGAGGTGAAAAGTGACGAAGTGTTGGAGGTATTAGTGACCGTTTCACCAGTGTTTATGTTAATTGTAGTGCCTTTATGTGTGCATGTCTTAGGGAGTTGGGATTCTTTTATCAGTTTCGTGAGAAAATATCCTATATTGCCATTTCTAAAAACATTAATGTTATACTGCTGTGAGATAAATATAAATTTTTATACTTACTTTTCAGTTGCATTTTCTTCGGGAAGGACATTCTTTAGATAATTGCATTGACTGTTTAAACTGTACGCCACAGAATGGAGTTTGGGTGCATTTTCTAGAAGTTCAACTGGCTTTTGGGGCGGCAAGGTGCATAAGTCGGATTTGGTGAAAGCTCGGGTTTTGTTACACTACATGAAAACAAACAGGTAAAGGGAGGACGCCTGGTAAATATTTACTTACTGTTTGGGCTAGATCACGAGTAATTTTGATGTTTCTGAGAGCCATGATGGCTCCAGAGTTGAGGTTCTGGGGTGAAATGAAAACAACTGTTGTAAATAAATTTTGTCATGGTTATTTCATTTTCCATTTTCACAGCTTGCTAAGAGCCTGATCTACTGCTTGGACTATATAGTTAAAATATTCATTACAAATTTCGTGTAACTTAAAATTTTTAAGTAAACAAAACATGAAACACTGGAATTGCAAAAACTGATCACAAACATGTAATAAAAGTGAGGTTAAGTGTAAAATAAGCAAACTAGATATGAGGACCTTTCGATTTGGCAAAAATCGTAGCTATTAGTAGCTAATAGCAACTTAGTTACTCTGAACTGATATTAGTTGCTTATATGCGATAGGTACTATTTTTGCCAAAACGAAAGCCCCTACGGAGTGTATACAAAGAGTGAAGGTGACTCTACTCTAGTCATGGGTAACACCGTGTTGAATGGCGCTTTTGTGTTGACACCTCTCTGGGTGTCATGGGTGCTGAAACAGCCCGCGTGACACCATGACACTTAATAACACCCAAGATGGCAGAAATTGCGGATTGCGAGTTACTAAACTGCGCACGGTGTTACGAGTCACCATCCTGATTCTCGATGGGATGGGGATTATATTATGACACCGCGGAACCGCGATTATGGGAGTTAAGGGGCCACAGAGTCCCCGATTTAATATTTTTTCCAAAACTTATTTATTACGTATATAACACTTGTGAGTAAAACAATTTAATACTCAAAATATACCTAGGTATTTTAATTATTAAAACTCAAGTCGTTTAAAATATCTATATATTTACATAAAACACGAGTAAAAATAAATCTCTTTGATAAAAAAAACATACCGCAAAATTAAAAAAACATAAAACTAAAACTGAAACATTAAAAAAATACTGATAGCTATGGTTTCGTAAATAAAACAAAATAATCAAAAATAAATTACAAAAATTGGACTAATTAAAATTATATTGTGAACTTGTAAAGGAACCGGCGTGTCATAACGAGATTGAACGCGGCGCAGACACGCAGACAGTGCCACACATCTGCATCTATCCTATCCAGTTTACTGTATCATGTATCATGACACAATTGTGCTGACACGTTGTGTTGATACAGCAAGCCGTGTCGGTATTGTTGTGTCAATACACGAAAATTTACAGTGTTACCCATGCCTACTCTACTCTAGGCTTGTTCTAGTTCTGTCAGCGGGCAGTCCTAGAACAGTTCTGAAAAGTTACCCAACTCGCGCCGCGCCATTATTCCATGGCTAGAAATTGGCCTCAATGATTTAGGATCGAATGGGATTATTCCTCTTTATCCTGCCTCATCTCGTGTAGGCCTGGACAGCATTCGTAGGTGGGCCCCATCCGTCGTCTACCCCGACCGTAAATGCGGCCGGTGTAGGCGCTTTGTGGGACCTTCTTTTGTCCTGGCTGGGCGCCGCCGGCTAGGGCCCTTTCTTCTGGGGCTCTTCTTGCTTCGCCGGCTAGTCTGTGTAAACCCCGGGGGTGGTGTCATGTTTATGTGTGGTATGGATAAATATGGTAATGCGGCTATGCAGCCTGGGATGCGCTTTGCTAAGGTGGCCCTTAGGCTAGCGCGGGAAGGGAGAGGTAAGGAGGGTATGGGGTGTGTGTTTGTGTGTGTGTGTATGTCGTTGTCTTCGTTTCTTGATTCTGGCGGTCCCTGAAACAGAAAAGGTTGTCATGTCTAGCGGCTACGTCAAACTGTTTCTCCGCGTTTTGTCTTATTGTCTGTGTAGCGTTTTTGTTGCACTCATAGTAAAGAAGTGCATCGACCACTATTCGCTGCAGCGGCTCCAAACTCAAAACACAGAGGCCGTGGCGATAGCGGTGAGATCGCTACGGCATGGAGACGTTGCGGTGGTGTCCTGTTACCACCCACCCAGACTACCACTACTTGACAATGACTTAGACAAAATCCTTTCCTGGCCCCAGACAATTGCCATCGGGGACTTCAACGCGAAGTCCCCCATATGGCACAGCGGGACGACGACCACAAGAGGTCGCGTCCTGCTGAATTACCAAGACAGACACGACGACTTGACTATACTCGGACCGACAGAACCGACACATTACGGACCCGTAGGACGCCCCGACGTTATCGACATTGCCCTCTTAAAATCTATACCGTTAAATGCCCAAATATCCACCCAATACGAAGGGTCTTCCGCCCACAATCCAATATTTCTGGATCTGGGGCGAAGACAGAGATATGAAGGCACCTTCACGAGGAGGTTCACTGACTGGGAGCGTTTCCGAACAGTAATGCAAGGAAACATGGCGCTCCCAGTCATCGAAACCACCCATGATCTGGAGGCGGCAATCCTCTCCCTTGAGACTGACATTAAAAACGCCCTGACTCAGACTACGACGGAGACTATTGTCCCCCGACTGACAAACCCCCGGGGCACCCTCCCCGATGACATAAAAAACTTAATACGTGACAGACGACGTGCG